TTACTCACGGATTACCAATTAATTATTAATTTTAAAAAAAATTGAATAAAATCAAATTAGAATATTAAAAAGATTTTTTTATAAATTTTTTTTTTAATGTACTACTGGTAGTACAAAAGGCGAGCGCCTATCCATTAAAAAAAAAAAGCCGGCCGGCCGGGTCTGTTTAAACAGTCCTATGTTATGAAAACCAAAAAAAAAATTTTATATAGCCTTAATAAAAAGTTAATTCTACTTTTAAGTGCAATGTATTTTGATCTCCTGAACAACTTTACTTAATAAACCAATATCGATTTGCATAGTAAACTTTTGACTTTACTATGTAGCAACTATTGACGAATCTCAAAATGGGACACAAGTCTTTAAGTTGTGGCGGGGACCTATAATAGAGTTTTCCCGGCCCGATTTGTCTCGGAGATCATGGGACCCGCCAAATTTTTGCGCCATCACTTTGCTACTCGAAGCTTACTGCACAAGATTTTAAGAGTATAAAATTCGACATTTCGCCATGTTCTCCTCAGTGAGAGTTGCCTCAGACGGTACCGAGGACAAATACAGCGTCATTCTTCCGACTTACAACGAACGCGGAAATTTACCAGTGATCATTTGGCTTTTGGCTAAAACCTTTAAAGAACAGTACGCATTCTCTAAGGACCAATACATCCACGTAATTTAAATTTCGCATCTTTAAATTTCTTTATAGTGATCTAGATTGGGAGGTAGTAATCGTCGATGACGGGTCGCCGGATGGTACTCAGGACGTTGCAAAACAGCTTGCAACCGTATATGGCACGGAACATATTGTAATCATGTTTTCATTGTCATCTGGAATTTAGGGTCTTTGTCTTAGAAATGCTTACGGAACATAAATTTTTATAAATTTTCGGTAAAAGGTTTTAAAGCCACGGCCTGGAAAGCTTGGTCTGGGGACTGCCTATGTTCACGGGTTGCAATATGTCACCGGGAATTTTGTTATCTTAATGGATGCAGATTTTTCCCATCATGTAAGTTATTTTCTATGACATATTGATTATTACTGTCTTTTATTAATTCGTCTTTAGCCAAAGTTCATTCCGGAATTTATAAGGTAAATTATTCACGCTTTTTGCTTGAGCGTTATCCTTATTGAAATTTATTTTAATGTACCCTAGACTTCAGAAAAGCAACAATTATGATATTATCACCGGAACGCGATACGCTGGCAATGGTGGTGTATATGGATGGAACCTCAAACGTAAAATAATAAGGTATTGAAATCAAAGCTATTTTAACTTGTATACAAAAAAAAAAAACATAAATAAAAAAAAGAGGAAATACAAAGGAAAATGTTAAACCTGATTTACTTTCTAATTAGTCGAGGTGCAAATTTTCTTGCCTCAACGCTCCTTCGCCCTGGTGTAAGTGATCTAACTGGCAGTTTCAGGTGTGTAATTAAGACAACGTTTGGGCGTATTTTACATCGTTCAAAAACAATGTGTTTATGACTAAATTTTAATGAATCAGACTATATAAAAAGGAAGTATTAGCAAAAATTATGTCCGTAGTAATCTCAAAAGGTTATGTATTCCAAATGGAAATGATGGTTCGTGCACGTCAATTTGGATATACAATCGGAGAAGTTCCTATTACATTTGTTGATCGTGTTTATGGAGAAAGTAAAATGGGTGCTAATGAGATTGTTCAGTTTGCAAAAGGCGTTTGGCAATTGGTAGGTTAATTTTTATAGGGTCGCTTGTTTAGTAGTGTATTTATTTGCTAATGTTTACTTATCTGATTTTTAGTTTATATCTGTTTAATAAACATTTTTTATTAATGCAAATTAGTATAATGTTATTTGTATAATATAACATTACAACTATAAGTAGATATAGAATTTAAACAACTATAAATTAATGGTTTGAATTTAGGGCTTTATACTAAAGTATACTTAGATATATTTATTTCAAATATTTTTATAAAAAGATATAT